AGCACAAAAAATAATAAAATGTCTAAAAAATAAACGAAACCAAACAAAAAATACACAAAAAATAATAACGGGCAACGACTCCTCATCACCCACACCCCGAGGAGGATATCACTTCGCGCCCCCCACCTCTCCCCCCCTTCTTCCGCTACGCCACAGTCGCAATCGTGTCGATGCTGTGCCCTAGTTCAAGGAGGGACGCCCTAATGGACCTTGTTTCCTCAGTGGCTCCGCACAGAAAGATGCTCAGCGCGGCGTCGGGAAACACGGAGGTGGCAATCGCGTCCACGTAGTCCACCCCGCCCGTCCATCGTGTGGATGGGTGCTGCAGGGGAAGATGCGGGCATCCGCAGACCGTAGCCCCCTTCTCTGCCACGACAGCCAACACACAAAGTGGCGGGTATGGCTATTTCATTTGTCCTTCATTCGCTTCTACTGTTAATCTCCTCATCCCACTATCCATTGAATTTGCATCGCGTTATTTGTCTTATTACCGTCACAATACGCACATATATATTCAGCACTGCTACGGTGTCGCTTTTGTTCATTAAATTTTATCATTGCCCATTTTTCGATCGCATACTTTTTACGTTCCACATTACGCCACTTTCTGTCTTTAATGTTTCAAACACATCAGCAGCGCAGCCTCGGCAGTGGTGGCGAGGAGCAAACGTCCCCGGCCACAGAAACCGGCACAAACACACGGAGAATACCGAAAATAGAGGGAGTGGAGAAGCGTGAGTGGGGGATTACAAACAAACAAACAAACAAGCAAACGAAAAACAGGGGCATCGCAATCACTGTGACTGCATAATATTTCCTCCAGCAACATGCTCAACGGACCCCGCCTCGGTCACATCCTGCTCACATACTTGTTGAGGAATTGCTGCCCGCTGTTCGTCCAGCTTCGCCCGGGTGAATCTCGCAAACCGCCAGTGCACCAACACGGCGGAAACTATGGCAATCACGTTGACAGCCATCAGAATGATCATCTGATTGCGCACACAACCGGGCTCGTTGCAAGAGGTGGAATCGCCACGCTTGCGCCCCTCCGCATCGTACATCTCACCGAACATGAAGCGGTTCAGCGCGATCGTCGCGGCAGCCCCGGAGGTGTACATAAAGTTGTAGTGTTTGCCAATGTCACGAGCAAACATCATCCGAACACCAATCACGGCCACCGCCCAGCCAATGCCGTTACCTATGGAGGCAAGCAAGAATGGAAGCAGTAAAGCGCTCCCAGGTAGCACGGCAAAGAGGAGGAACGCCACCGCCATCAACACGGGACCAATGGGAATTGCAAAAGTCGTCAGCATGTTTGTCTTGCCCATATTGCGCAGCGCACCGAGCCTGATGTCAAACAGCCCAATGGAGATGCGTCCAATAGCGCTGCCCACAGACATAATGGCAACGTAGAGCGTCACAGTTCGAGTATCAAAATCGCCGTAGTTCTTGCTGCGATAAATCTGAGTAGCGTTCATCTGCATCACCGTGCCGGTACCCCACACGGCAAAGCAAGTCAGCCACATTGCCCACAGGTCAATGGTAAGCAAATGAGCCCAGAACGAACCATCGTACTGCGGTGCCTGGCTGACCACCTCATTCGTGCAGTTTTTGTCATCTTCCTCCTCAGAATCCCCATTTACGGCTTCGCCTGCCAGCTCCGCGCCCGACTCGCCAATGCCCGCCATATGCGTGGAACGCAGGGGGTTGTAGCGGCCCAGAAACTGGAACGGCATCGCCATCAGGGAGAACGATGCCATCAGCAGCAGCGCCACGATCGAGATCGCCACGTACCCCGCGTAGGACGTTTGCACGTACGCCGTCACAATCGACTGCGCGGCGGAAAATATCAGCAGGGCGATGACAAGCCCAAACCCGATGTGCAGACGCCGCGAGGGGGCATGCTGGCTCATGTACAGGTCAAGCGTCTTCTCCCGCTCTGCGAGTTCCTCGGCGCTCAGCCGCTTCTTCCTCCACGCTGACGGATAGTACATCGGTAGCCGCGTGAAGCAGGCGCCGACAAGAGCGCACAACAGAGTCTGCGCCGCAACAAAGTACGCGTAGCCGGAGTAGTTGTTGTCCTCGGATCGACGCGAGTCCGCCGCCCTAAACCAGCCGTTGAAGTACGCCATTAGCACTGCGGTCCCAAGCCCGTTGAACACCTTCATGACCAGCACCACGTAGCCGCGGTCCAAGGGAAACTGCAGCATCAGCGTCATGACAGCAGAGACGTCCATCGCCGGGAGACCAAGGTGGGTAATCCCCTGGTAAAGGGAAAACAGTCCCACACTCGAGGTTTTGACCGTGCCGTCAAAGGTCAACCCAAACATTAAGAAGCCCAGTCCTCCAAGGACACCGGCAAACGGAAGCACGACTGTTGGACCCACGTAGTCAAACATCAGTCCAGCCTGAAAGCTGAAGTAGTTCAGACAAGTACCGACCGTGCTGATTGTTGTGACTTCACTCTGCGAATACCCGTACTTAGTCTTCAGGTGATCCGTGAAGATGCTGAATCCGTACGTGGACGAAACACCGAGCCCGATGTAAACGCCGGCCATCAGCATCCGCATGCGGAACAGGTCGTCCACCTGAAGCACCATGTTTTGTTATTATTATCTGTCTTTTTGTGTCCTACAACAAACAACAAAAGCATAAATTCGGAGGGGCAAAACAGGTGAGCCATGCATTGCGTGCCACCATGCTGGCAGAATCAAGAATTGAACCTCTTCGTGCATATGAGCGCACGCATTTGCCTGTGAAAGTGAGGGGGGAAAAAATTCATTGCTTTTCACGCCTGCACTCGCACCGTAGTTGAGAGGCAAACATCTCAGACGGCCTCCTCGTGACCGGGTGCCGCGCCGCGCCTCCGGGCCGCCGCCGCTTCACAAGCAAGCGCACCGGCCTCAGCAAACAGGAGGAAAGCCCCATACCTACACACGAGTGCAATTGGAACACGCACACACAAAAATGACCACAATAATGGACGAGCATACTTCACAAAGGCGGAGCAAACACGATCTTATGACTCGGCACGTCGCGAGGAGAATTCACATGGTGGGGGTGGGGTCTTGGCTCCTTCTCCCCACATTAGGAAAGAGCCGAACAAGGAGATCGTAGTTTGGCTCAGCGGACGCATCCCCCCACACCGGAGGAAGCCCACCAAACACCCACCCACCCACACCAGTAAACCAATTGGTGCACAAAGCAATCTACAAAAACTGAGGCCTCGCCGTGAACCCACAACGTGGCAGCCGTTGAAGACCCCGCAACCGCCCCTCCCCCTCGCATGACGAGCCGCTTCCACCACGCCACCAGAACTGAAGTCACGACCACGCGACGCGCCACCTGCGTGGCCGCAAAG